TTAGGATCAAATTATAGAGGACCTTCAATCCTAAGGGGTTTTTTATTGGATTTTATTTGGTAGGTAATCTGAAGTCATTGGACATTTGGGGCCATGGGGAAGACAATAAATAGCATTAATTAACATGAGCAGAGCCATCAGAAAGATTATTCTGGTAGCAGTGTATAGGATGGATGAAATGGGAAGGAGGGGACAAAACAAAGGTAGGGAAGCAGGTTTTGAGGTTCTTGCAGTAATTTAAACAAATGGGAAGCTAAATGAGTGTGATGGCAGTAGGTGAAATAAACATTTAGTGAGAATCTAGTTGATTTTGCTGTCAAAATTGTATGTGAGGAGGAGAGGATTATAGTCCAAAGCCTGGGTGAACTAACTGATGAAATGAATGGTAGTGCCATTAACAAATAAAAAAGCTGGGAGAGCAACTTTAAGTTGGTCAGGACATGTTGAAGTAACAGTAATGTGTGTAGAGGGACAATATAGGTATTTGGAAATATGGAAGTTTGAGAGAGGTTGACACTAGAGATACAACTTTTGGGAGTCATTTGCATGGAAGTAAAAATTGAGCTGTCAGAGAGTATTAGAGAAAAGGAAGAACCAAGCTCCTCAATACAAACTTAAAATTTTTCTTTGTGTTGTATTTGTCAGGACTTGCTTTGTCAGTACCAATATGATTGGTAGATTTTAAGCCTTAATTTTCCATTTAGTTGTTTTGTTATTATTGGAAAAAATTGCCCTTAGGAACATTTAGCAAGTTTGTCATACCATTTCATGATAATTAAAATAGAATTACTTTAGTAAAAATAAAAAAGGGGCTTGTTACTCATTTTTGTTAGAAAATATTTTAAAATTTAATTTAGAAGTACTATTTGCCTATATTCTACATTTAGTGTTTTTCCTCTCCCTCTTTCCCTAGCTTAATTGATCTTTCCTGTGTTTTCAAAGTAGATCTTGAGCACCATTACTATTTACTTTTTAAGCTGAATAATATTTAGTGCTTCACTCTAGAGTGGGGAGGCAGGAACATTTGATATATTTTGGTTCTTAAATGGTCCCCTTGGAAACACAGGGAGTAGTTGAGATATTCTCTCCCTCTTGAGTTATTTTAATTTTTAAAAAGCTGAGTTTTCCAGAAAATAACACATTAACATTTTATTGCCACCCCTGTGCCTCACCCCTTTTTTGTCTGTTCAAGCAAATTAACTTAATGCAGGCTTTTTGTCTAAAGTTCACAGTAGATACATAAATAATTTTTTTAAATTTTCATTAGTGTAGGGAACTCCTTGTAAGTCAATCAACAAGCATTTATTTATTAATTTATGAAGTGCTCACCATGTACCTACCAGTCACTGTGCTAAGCAAAATACTGTCTTTGCCTTCAAGGAGCTCATATTCTCATGAGGGAGACAACATGCAGACAACTGTGTACAGATGAGATAGATATACAGGGTAAATTGAAGGTAATCTCAGATGAAAAGTTCTAGCAACTGAGAGACTGGAAGAGGCCTTTTAGAGAAAGTGGGATTTAAGCAGAGTCTTGAAGTATAACAGGAGGGAGAACAGACAAGCAGGGCCAGGAGTTCGAGGAAATGGAATGTCATTAAATGAGGAACAGTAAGAAGGCCACTGTTGGTGGGTAGCAATGACCAGTCTCTGGGCCTGTGGCCTTTTAAGAGATAGAAGAAAGGTTTGCTATTAAAAAAAACCCAACACTAAAATAAGAAATATTTACCACCTATATCTCTCTGGGGAAGTCATTCCTACCTACATAGATCATTAGATCAACTCATCTGTTAAGTCTCAGAAAGTTGCCTGGGCCATGCAGAGTTCAGGACTTAGGGCCCTAGTAAATACATTCTCTGTACCTTTTCTGAGAATTGTTGAATAATACCTTCTCCTGGGATTTTTCCTTGCTCCAGCGCCTGCTTAATATGGAAAGAAATTACATTTGACCCTTTTGTTTGTTTTTTTTAAAATCTAGTTACTTATTTTCTGTGATTTAACTTTTTTGAGTAGATTAATTGTAAATCTAGTGCTTTTAGGTCCTACTCTAGAGTTCTTGATCTGCAGCAAAGGTTAGCTTTGTTCAGTGTTGTTGGTTCTTGGAAAGGCTTCCTTATGAAGAAACAAAACTCAAAGAAAGAGTGTTATTCATTCACAAGAGTACTGAAATGCTGTTTGACTATCTAAGATCAGAGGTTAAACTCAAGTCTTTTGGCTGTGTTTTCTAGGGTAGAGCTTTAAAGATTCACCCCATTAAAACTTTTTTTTTACTTTAGAATTTGTCTTCCGGTGGTATGGATGGCTATACTACTCTCCGACTCCTAAAGCACTGACTTTTGGGATCCCAAATTATATTTGACTTCACGATCTTTGAGTAGAGAAGAGACCATGGAAAACTAGAATTAAATGATTGCCAGTCAGATATGAGACCAAAAGTCTAGTTTTCCACCAGAGTGAGTGTACAGTCTTGTGAAGTTTTGAAAGCAATCCAGATCCATGCCAAACATCATTTCAAACCAAAGTAGATAAGGAATATAATCAGACAAAAAGGCATTACACGTTTATTCTAGCATCAGTAGGTTTTAGTGTTTTAAATTGACTGGTACTTTTTCCCTCCTCTCCTGTTCCATCCCCGGTTTTGTATTTTCAAGCAGGAGGAGCTGTATGTGTTACCAAGAAATAGTACGGAAATCCCAAGTCCTGGTGTAACTGTTGTGAAAACTGGTTGGTGATGACCACTTTCTTCCCCAGCCCCACCCTGAAGTAGTGGGAGGGGAGAATTCCAACTGTTAAGTTTAACCCATCCTGTCTGCCTGCTAGAAGGCCTGTTTTCCACCCTAATGGTTTCTGCCTAACAAATGGTGTTTCTTTCTTACAGCATTATGATCCTGGACTTGTTGTGGTGATGGTAAACTTAGCAGTGGTAATTTTTTATTTTCAGACTGAATTACTCCTTTTTGTCATCAGTGCACCAATATGTTAGGCTTACTTTCTCTGTTGTAGCCTTCATCCCTCTGCTTGGTCTTTTTCATTTTCCTTTCCTTTCCTTTATGCAACTTGTCTGATCCCTGTTCATTAAAGGGTAATGCTAAGAAGGGATGTATCTGTTTGTGATAGAACTGCCACAAAAAAAAAATCATTTAAAACATAAAATCCTAATATTGTTCAAACTTGATTTACCCCAGAACATCATGGGCGCTAGCACTTGCTACTGCAATTTTCAAATAAATAAATAAATTGAAACAAACTTTGACTGCCTTAGGAGGCAAAAGTACTGATGCAGTGTTTATGTACAGGGGTTTACATAGTTATTGAATCTGTACCAAAAGTCTTCATTCTTGCAAAAACAAAGCTTAACAGATAACAAAAAAGTAGAAAATAAAATTGAATTCTTTTGACTTTTTTTTCAATTATTCCATTAGTTTCTCTGACTTTACCAGTAAATCCCTGATTGAGACGTTTTCAAAGTGATATTGCACTTAAGGACGTCATTTTTATGACATGTCTTTAATTTGGTCCTTTTGCTAAAGATTGCAGTCACTGCTTATTTATTATACCATTGGGCGCAAGGTAGTAATGTGGTGTTTTGGTTTTGTTTTTTTGAGGGGTTTTGTTTTTTTCCTCTTTTTTTCTGTTTTTATTTTTGTTTTTGTTTAACTGGCAGTCTTTGAAAGAATCAAAATGAAAGCTCTATTCCAGAAACCTTTTTTCTTTGCTGGCATGAGATGTTTTTTTGTTGTTGTTGTTTTTAAAATCTGAAATTTTAATTGCCCCAATTAATTTTCCTGTTTGTTGCTAAAAATAACAGTTGGTCTTTGGTGATACATAGGTAAACTCCTGGATTTTTACCACTGCCTGAAGACAAAAGTTAACCCTATAAATGCAGATCAGTTGAATACAAATTCCATAAACTGTTGCATGTTGGTTTGAAAAAACTTAATCCTTGTCACCCAGAGTCCAAGATCCAACCAAGGTCATGGCATTTGTTGATTTTTTTAAAAATGCCTCATTGTTGGCCTGATAAAGTTGATTTTTTTTTTTGGCCCAAAGGTATAATATGTATATGTGTGTATAACAAAAGCAGTTTTTTACACCAGCCTGAGTGTAAAAGATGAGGGAAGTAAACATTGTGTTTTTTCACTCAAGGTATACTACGGATAAGGTAAGTCCTCTTTTCAAGTGGGCTTACATCACAATAAACAGCGCAAGTTGTGATGTAAAACAGCTGTGGTAGTAAAGTGCTTGTCTGCCCCATTTTGCTTTGTTTGGCTGGTTATGAGTGGATTAAAGATACATAAAAACAAATTTCAGCATAGTTTGATTAGTTTAAAGTCAATTTTCTTCGCAACTAGTCCTTTTCACAGCTTACTGATTGCCACAGCCAATCTGGGAAATGAGAAAATAGCATTACTATTTTAGAAGGTTTCAGTTTATGAATGAAATCATTTTTGGCTACCCAAGGGTATCTACTTCTTCATTTAATTTTTTATACTACCTCTTATTTAACTGCCAAGCCATATTTCCACAAACAAAATTAAGTTCTGATTTTACTTAAGTTGGCTTTATAATTTTCTAGCATTTTAGTTGGAAATATACTTTTGTGTTTATATAGATTGAGATGGCTATAGGGGTAAAGGGATTGTTAGTATAGAATATAAATGACTTGTTTTTGATGGGAGGATCTTGTAAGTCAAAGAAAAAAAGTTTTTAAAAACCTCCTGTTGCCAGTAGGTAGTGTAGTGTTTTAATCTAACCACCAATTTTTGCTAGAGTGGTTAGTGTTCTGCAAATCCCAGGTTGTTCGGTTAGCCAAGGGTGGTTGGGTTTGAGCTGGAAGAAGTGGATTTGGATGTAAGCTGTGAGAATGGCTTGTGTTTGGTTCACTGTAGCTTTCTGGTCTCTGCACTCCAAGGCAAGATCTCTAACCACCCAAACCCACTGTGTAAAGTGAGCTGTTGACTTGGCTGTGTGCCTCACCTGGTTATGTGTTCCTGTTTCAGGGAGAACAGATCCCATTCCTATCGTTGTCAAGTATGATGTCATGGGTATGGGTCGAATGGAGATGGAGGTAAGCTGATCTTGCTAGGCTATTACCTTATGGAATATGTGAGCTAAATTATGTTAACTCTGAGTATAGATACAGGTATAAGAATACCCATGGAAGATGGAGTGATAGCTATTAATAGTTAATTGTATAGTTCTTTTTCTTTCAATTAAAAAAATGTTTAATAACATTTCATGCTATGATTCCTTAAAGGGAAGCAGATGATTCAGTAACTCAGTTTTGTCTTTGGGGAACCTGAGTCATAGAGAGGTTTGTAGATTTACACATGATCACAGCTCTGTGGCAGAGTACAAGGATCCTGAAACTCCTGAGTAGTATAGTATTTTTCTCTTAGGCAGCGCTGCTTGTCTTAAAATTTTCTATTGAAATAAAAGGTTTTCCCCTCTAGAAAGGAGTATTGCCCCTGGTTCCCCACACTTCATTACCTAAAATCTTTTCCATATCCTCTCTTAATTCTTTGGCATTGAGACCTGCATTTCCATAAAGTGAAGTCCATTATTACTGGCCATGGATGTGCCTGCTGGGAACCACTGCTATGGCAGGATTAATGAACTGTTTTGCATGCCATTTTCTCTGTGGGGTGACAAAGTGGGAGACAGTTAAGTAAGATATATAGACTTTTTACAAACAGTATCATATTTGATAATGCAATACTTTTTAGGCTAACTGTATCATTTCAGGATTGTAAGACTAATCTGATTCTGTTCTTGTTAAGCTTGATTATGCTGAAGATGCTACCGAACGGAGGCGTGTCCTAGAAGTAGAAAAGGAAGACACAGAAGAGCTGAGGCAGAAGTACAAGGTACTTGATAGAGATAGTCTGTGTATGGAATCTCCAGGGTAAATGTAAAGACTGCTTATTTTTTTATGAAAAGGAGTAATTTATTATAATATCAATTTAGCTTTCATTGGTGAGACATATCATTAGATCTTGGCCCCTTAGGACTCCTGTTGCTTTTAAGGCTCCTTTGGGAACTTAATTGTTTTTTTGATGTGGTTGCAATCTTATTAGATCTTGTCGGTTTTATATTCTAAATTATCACCTCTGCTTAGGTTTTTTAAGTTATGGCCAGCAAAATACATTCTAGTTATTTTTCTAAAAGAGGGTCAGGGAAATGTTTCTACCACTAGCTCTCTGGAAGTGTTATATTAAAGATCTGGGGGTGGGGAGGGGGTGGGCAGGGCAGAAATTGGTATAGGGAGTGAAAGAAAGCCTTGTAATTTAGAGTCACCTAGAGCAGCCATCAGATGCTATATGCCTCCTGAGGATACTCTGTTGCTCTAACCACTATGTTTCAGCCTTCCAGACAGTTGATTGGAAATAGGTTATTAGTGATTTACATGGTGTCAGCTTGCAGCAGAAATGTATAGAGTTAACAACCTTGTCAGGTTCAGTGAAGAATTTTACACAGATGCTGTGTGTGTGTGTGTGTGTGTGTGTGTGTGTGTGTGTGTGTGTGTGTGTGTGTGTGTGTGTGTGTGTGTGTTGGGGGGGTATAAAAGGGGGGACATTTAATGAAAAATTGAGGACATTCAATGAAAATATCCAGGGGTGTAAGAGAATTTTTGTTACTGTTCCAGTCCTGTGTTGCTGTCTAGTTACCCTTAAATTACTACAAGAGCTGTGGAGTATATTGGTAGATAGGATGCACTTTTCTTTCTGTCATTTGAGGGGGCGGGAGCAGGGAGGTGAGGGAACAGATGGGACAAAGGAATGGGATTCAGACCCTGTGATTTCATTGGTTTAGGGAACCTCCCAGGTAAGGAAACTTCTAGTAATCTACTGATACAGGTCAGCACTTTTGCAATGTAAGAGTCTTAGTTACCTGATACACTAAGGGGTAGATAACTTACCCATGGTCACCTAGCCAGTATGTGTCAGAGGTAAGGACTTGAACCCAAGTCTTTATGACTCTGAGCTGATTCTATCTATTACACCATACTTCCTCTCTGTTAATTTTATGTGACAGCAAACATCTGATCCTGCACTGCAATTTTTGCAGCATTGGTGCAACTTTTATATCTTTAAATGCAGCTAGATTTGAAAGCTGTTTTAAATCTAAGAGCTTTCGTTTTAAAAACTGACTCAAACACAATTATTTCAGTGCTTCAGGTCAGGCTGACTTTGGCCATTCATGTAGAGGAATTGTAAGTCACTGACAAGTGGAAATATAGTGAAAGCAGATTCCAGTATCTGATTTCCTGCTTTGTTACTTGTGAATATTTGTCAAAATATTTTGACATGACCAAAATGAACATTTTGACCTTTTTGAATCATTATTTTTAAGAAGGAAGTGGTTCTCAAAGCAGAATTTTTTTAAAAAATTTCTTTTTAGGTATTACTACCTAAAATTTTACTTGAATAACTTTAGAATCCAAACATGAGGATGTGTGTTTAAATAGATAGATAGCTATTTCGCATTCACATTCAAATTGATGAATCATTCTTCCTAGTGGATCTCAGATTTATGTTACCCAACCATTCATGCCTTTGTAACATTTTCTGTGTCTGTAGAAGGAATTTTCTTTTGTCATGTTCTAGTTAGAAATGGGACTAGTTCTATCCATTCACAAGTAGTTAAAATATTTAAAATAGTAGAAAAGCGACTTGACCAAGTTCACATAGAGCAAACTAATCCAGAAGTCAGAATTTGAACCCGGATTACCAGTGTTCTTTTCACTATATCACACTGCTTCTCCCTTACGCTTCCGTGTCTCCTTATAGATTTATACTGGTCGTTCAGGAAGTCTTAACTTACAGAGCAGCCACCAGGAAGCATAAGCCTCTAAATCAATCCTGTTGCTAACCTGACTAGCCCAATGATCAGTGAAACAATATTAACAGAGTTTAATGGGTCAGTTTTTAAGAAGAATAGTTGGATTCAGGGGCCTCTCAGACTTCATGAATTATTTTACACAGAAGCTGATAGCTTAGTGTTAACTTTTTTTCTCTAAGTAAAACCTGAGGTTTTTTCCTAGCTATATTTACATTTAAAACAAATTACTTTGTTTTTTTTTAGATTTCACCTTCTCCAGCTGATGCATCCCCAAGTCATCATTTTAAATGTACTTTCATTTTTTAAAAAGTAATAACACTAACAAGCAAATTATAGATACAGAACTCAGCAGTTGGTTTTAAAGAAATCCAGAGGGGGAGCTAGGTGGCACAGTGGACAGAGCACTGGCTTTGGAGTCAGGAGGACCTAAGTTGAAATCCAGCCTCAGACATATAACACTCACTAGCTGTGTGACTCTGGGCAAGTCACTTAACCCCAACTGCTTCACCAAAAAAAAAAAAAAGAAATCTAGAGAAGCAAAAATCTTATCTCTAGGCAAATATTGTAATTATTAATACCGTCACATATAAGGTGCTCTGTTTATAAAAATTTTTACATAGAAACCTTTTAAGATAATAACCAAACACAGCTTTGGCTATATTTGCCTTCTATTCTAAAATGGTCTCTACTTATGTGAAATCTGAGGGCAAATTTTTGTGTTATCTTTGGCTAAATATTTTTAAATATCTGGAATTTAAAACCTCAGATCAAAATTAGACATCTATAAAATAGTGTCTTTCCAAACCGTAATCCTCTATGTGTTTTACAAATTCCCATGGTTTTGCAAAGATTTAAAGTAAGCAGAAATTTTTTGTTAGATGAGTAATTTGAACCCTTCATTTACAAGATACTGAATTAAGATATCCTTTTTCAGAGGAAGTAAAAGCTTAAACTTTTGCATGAAATCTAATTATCGTATTTTGATTTTAATGGTCTACTTAATCCGTGTTGGTTCAAGTCTGTGCCAGCCAAACACCAGGCACATTTAAATAGACATTCAGAGATTTTTACTTCAATAAAACAACAAAAAATTTGAAATAGCACCTTCCTGTGAATATGGAATACTAAATTTAATGTTGGATTTGGTTGATGTATTGGTTAGTTTGGCTGAACTTTTCCCCTTTGTTACCTCTCTGGGAGGGCAGGGGAGGTATACTGGGAAATGTAAGTGTTATAAAAACAAAAGATACCAATAAAAAATGTTTTTGGAGGGGGAAAGGAATAACACCTTTGTTCTAAGGAACAGCATTTTCTATATACATTAGGCTCACAAAAACCTGTAAAATGGCAGTATAGTAAATCACTAATTTTCGAAATTAGAAGGTTGGCTTGGTGAATTCAGAACTGTAAAATATTTTATAAGTATACAGTTTTATTCTTAAGTACAATTTAAGCTTTGAACTTCAGTATCATTAGATGTTTGCGAACACAGTACAAGCCTATATTCCCTTTTACATTTTATATTCATTCTCAATTTCATCTTCACAAGAACTCTCTGAAATTGATTCAGTTCAGCAGGCATTTATTAAGCACCTACTACATGCCAAGTCCTTGAATAATTACAAGCAGTATTGACCTCAAGAAGCTGACTGTTACTACCATTGCCAGGAATCTGAGGAGGAGGAGTAATGGCAAACAGTTCATTAACAAAATTTTTAAATTTAGTTTTCAGAGTGCTTTACAATTATTATCTCATTTGGTCCCGACAACAACCTTGTGAAGGAGATGCACACTTCCAGCTTGGTTGTATTCAGTTCTAAACCTGGAACTAAAATACAGTGCTCATTCAGTGGTGTAAACACAAATCCTGTAATCTATGTAGGAATAGTTTGCTCAACATAGGTGTGCAGTCAATTTTGAAAACATTCTAATTTTCTTGGGCTCTTATTTTAAAGTGGTTTTTTTAAATTTGTTTGTTTGGGTTTGATTTGTTTGTTTTACTACACCTATGATTTCATTAGTGTAGGGAAGTCCTAGTGAAGAAGGCTCCCTTTACTAGTGCTAGGGCAAGACCTTATTTGCCCCTTAGAGCCTGACAGAATTGCTTGTGCCCCTGAGAGGTCATACATACTGTTAGATGCTGGATGTCTGACCCTGATCCTGCAGCCAGCTTTCTCTCAGCCATGCCATGCTGTCTCTCAGGTGTATCTTTTAGAAAAAGCTACCATGGGAGCTTGGCTGGTTTCCCTTTATAAGTAAAACCCTAAAAGTCAGCAGGAGGAGTATTTTCAGCTTTTATTTTTTTTTTTTTGGTTATCACAAATTTTGAATTAGATGAGTCCAAATAAATGTCAGGAAAACCAAAGCTCATGAAGAGGGAATTATAAGAAATTCAGGTCCCAACTCCATGGTTGATTATTTCACATTTACTGTGTGTATATTTAATATAATATATTTTTGTGGGAAAATTTGAATATGGAGAAGACAGTTCTGGCTATTAAATTTTAATCAAAGAGGTCGATTAAGTCTTTTTGTAGGAGGGAGGTACTATTAACAAAGTCTGTTTCATTCTTATCTAAATTAAACATTTTTATAGGGCTACTGTCAAGTGACAATTTATCTTCCTCACCCCCCAATTTTCTTATATAATTGGGCAGCTAGGTGGCACGTTGGGCCTGGAGTCAGGAAGACCTGAGTTCAAATTTGACCTCAGATGCTTAACTAGCTGTGTGACACTGGGCAAGTCAGTTAACCTCTCTGTTTGTCTTAATCCACTGGAAAAGAAAATGCAAACCATTCCAAACCCCTTGGACATTATTTATGTGCAGTGGTCCACAGGATCACAAAGAGTTGAACACCATTGAACAACTGAATAGCAGCAAACTTATGCCAGTGGTCAGTTGTTTGCCTGAAAAAAGACAGAGAGTGGAAGACAGACCAGGAAGGGTAGGAATTGCAGAAGCTAGGGATACAGATAACACACTGGCTAGTAATCAGCTAGTGAACAATTATGAACTGCCCTTTCAAGAAACCAGGTGACTGCTCCAGGATGTCTTTTAGGAGACATTTGAAGTTCCAGTGTTCTTCAGACTCTTAAAAACTGTGAGGTCCTTTGGGAAAAGGGTAAAGGAGACGTCACTATAAGTGAGGCTTCCTTCTCACCCTATAACAGTTCCTCTTTAGAGGTGTACTGGAAAGCCACATGTTCCAATTTCTTGAAGAGCCTCCTGTTCTAGATAACTCAGTGCTTTTATATAGTATTCAGAAGGCATGATAAAATCCCCATACCCAATTTTATATCTCTTTATATGATCATTTCTCTTCATCAAATGACATTCAAAGTTTTTCACACACAGTCTGTGATATTTTGATTGATTGAGACTTGTTCTCACCTATTTAAGGTATTATGACTTACAAATGTAAGTCACATTAAGTCAGTGTGTTTTTTTTTCCTCTCTATAAGACATACTTTAAATATTGTGTCAGAATAGGAAAGGAATATAGCATGTATCCTCTACTTTGTTCCATGTTCATTATGTTACACAAGTCCAGTATTGAGTTCAAAACTGCTTCAGTTTACAGATTCCTTGTCAACTGTAGTTTACATCATAGGAGTACCTTCTTTGCAAAAAATTCATGAGAACTAACTGGATTCCTCATGGCTGAAACGTCTTTGGTTTGTGGTTTACGTGAATTAGCTTCCTGGAATGTGATTTGGGAAATGGAAGCTACTTTTCCTGAAGTGATCTTAGGTTGCCAGACTCACTTTTGTAATAAAAAAAAAAAGTTCTATTTATTAACCAAACACATTATTAAAGCTGGATAGCCTTTAGCTATGGGGCCTTAGTTACCTGTTCTTAAAACTGTGAACTTTTGTAATAATGCTCCCACATCAAATCCTTTTGAATAACAGTGTATATGAATAACAGTGTATCTGTTGGTCCAGTTGTACAGATTTTATATTGCCTAATTGTTCCTTTAAGTGAGCTTTTGGGGTATCCATGGTGTTAATGAAAAAACATTTCCCTCTTCAGTTGTGTTATTTTTAATTTCAATTTAATCGATTTGATTTTTCTTTCTATTGTAGGATTATGTTGATAAAGAAAAGGCCATTGCCAAAGCCCTAGAAGATCTTCGAGCTAATTTTTACTGTGAACTCTGTGACAAGCAATATCAGAAACACCAGGAGTTCGACAACCACATCAACTCCTATGATCATGCACACAAACAGGTGGGAAAGAGTTAACTGCTTACAGGAACCACTAGTTTCTGGTTTTAATACCTTCTCCTCTGCATTCTTGTTTTATATTTTTATAAACTGAACTTTCCCTACCCCACTATTTCATTTTTTCTTCCATTCTAGGATTCATTTTTGGATGCTCTTGGTTGTGATTTCCCATTTCCAGAAATGCACCTCTATGCACACATTCATTTGGAAATTTTGACTTTGACATGTTTGTGTACTGACTGCTATATTTTCAGATTAAATGTAAAAGAAATATTTGATAGATGTGGAAGACTCATATCTACTTGCCGATAGTGAGGCCTGAAGCTTTGTGACTAACATGATATATAGTTTTCTTATGGAAACAGTCCTGACCACTCATACCCCCTCTAAATTTGAAGTGAAAGGAACCACTATGAATTTCATAGATTTTTAGGTTTTCATCAGACAACTATTGTTAAGAAAAATACAAATTAATGCCTGTCATAATCAGCCACTTTACTTAAAAAGAATAGTGGTGAAACATGTTGACATCTTTGTAAAAGGATGAATTAAGATATCTTTACCATCTTTTTTTATTAGTATGGAAAGGAAACTTAGGGACAGCTTTCTACTTCATGTAGAAAACAGGAGATTAAAAAAGAAAATAGTGATTTCCCTAGGTGAAGCTTTGGAAGGAAAACAAGCCTTCAATGCCACAGCAAGGTCCTATCTGGATAAAGGTTTGGAAACCATCTGATCACCAAATATTGGGTGACTTTGGCAGAATGTGCTGGCAGAGTGTTCAGTTAACAGTTAATGGAGCTTGTTAAATTTGTAAGATTTATGAGCTTTCTAAAGAAGCTGCACCTGTTCAACCTACATTTCTTTGGGTCTTGTAATTTGCAAGATTTCAGTTTTGTTGGTCTTCTAGCCATGAAAGTCTGTGGAAATTTTAAAAGACAGACTTTAGCTATTGAAGTTTTACTTTTAGTAGAGATGGTTTGATTTGCCCAGCTGGTATGGGTGGTTTTGATTGTGGCTTTTTTGTTTTGGTTTTGGGTTTTTTTTTGTTTGTTTGTTGTTTTTTTAAAGCTTTTAGCTGTGATATAATAAACATGGATCTGGTCCTCTGTAGGAGACTTTGCCTGACACTCACCCACTATGGATTTAACCAGGTTATTAAAAAAAAAAACGCTTATTTTTTCTTAAATACCTTTTGAACCTAACATCTTTGGTCATTGCTTTCAACATATTGTCAACATGATTTTATTTGAAGAAGTAGTTAGGTAAATCAGTTTTATAGCAGTAGTAGTATATGGACAGTTCACATCCCCTCCAAATTGTCCTTCACAGAAGAAAAGGTGAGGTATGTAATAACAAATGCTATCACTCATCTAATTATTTTCAGGTGCACCACCTTATTCATTGCAGTCTTACCATTGAAAGGGAAAGATAGTCTTCAGTTGTTTCTTATTGTTTTACCACTTAAGAAATTTTAGAATTTTAAGAATACATCTTTCCAGTTTGATAAAATTTCTTTTAAGAGAGTCTGTGTCATCATAGAAATAGCAGGGGAAACAGTTTAAAAGGCTAACTTTGAAAAAAACTGGTATAGAAGTCTCTTGAACAGGGTACCTAGTCTTATTCCATTTTATACTAGGACAATAATCTAGGGAAAATACAGTTCACCAACCCTATGTATTAATCTAGAACAGTTAGTTAATAAGTAGATTTATATGTTATATTTACCTTAGTTTTCACTCATTTTGGCATTTCATCCTGTCAGGTGCACCATAATAGTTATTTCTTTTTGTTCGAACATTTAAGCAATGCTAATCTCTCTGTTACTGAAATCATTGATCCTCGGACTGGTGTTTGGTAAACACTTCAATCTGGAAATAACAACATCATAACCACATAAAACAGAAATTTGTGGGGCTGTGGTGTAACTTGTTTTTCTTAGCTCATCTCTTCACAGAATTTTGAATTCCCTCAGGAAACTTTAGTGTTGGTACATCACAGATAAATAACCTTCTTAATAGCAAATGGATCCTGTTTTTCTTTGATCAGCATAGATGCATGCCTACAAAATTACCATCCCTTGAAACTCTCCTTGTTCCGGCATCATTAAGACCTTATCTTGCCTTCCTGGAAGGCACACAGAATCATTGTGAATATGAGCCAATAGATAAAGGCATATAGCCATATGGTGGTGGCTCTAATTTGCATCTTCCAAATTTTCATCATTGAAGACTAATAAACCATTAAAAGGGATATTAGCTGAATTGCCTGATAGTAGATTGCTGGAATGGGCAGTCTCACTACAATCCTTTCTCCTAGCCTGAGTAATCTCTTTCTTATAGCGAATGCTGATCACATTACTTCAACTCTTTATTAAAAGATCATGCTCTGCATTCAGATTGCCCTCAGATCCTTCTCTATTACTAATTTCCCTTATTTTAGGTAAAACTAAAATAATTTACAACAGAAATGCTTTATTTTTGAGAAATTGTTTATCTTTCACAGATACAAAAGCTTATGGGATACAGTAACTATTTTAGCATCCTGATGGTGTCATAGTGATACTTTGTTGAATTCTTAAATTTTCCAGTGATTCTCTTGGCTGTGTCCTAAAGAAATCAGTAGGGGCAGCTAGATGGCGCAATGGATAGAGCACTGGCCCTGGATTCAGGAGGACTTGAGTTCAAATGCAGCTTCAGACACATAACACATACTAGCTGTGTGACTCTGAGCAAGTCACTTAACCTCATTGCCTTGCCAAAAAAAGAAAGAAATCAGTAAAGCTTTTGTGACTTTTCTAAATTCTAATATATTTCACATGCCTGGCCAGAAAGGATTACACAAATATTTTAAATCAAACAGGGAAACTTTTTCTATCATTTTCAGGAATCCAGAAACCAAATACTGGGATTAGTGTATTTTTTTACTGTGATCATTGAAATTCAACATATATTTTCAACCCCTGCTAAAGTGGATATCTTTTAAATATCTTTTAAATAAAAACATTATATTCCCTTTATTAGGCATTATCATTTTAAAATATCCTCTTCATTTTCAGTCTAAGATATCTATTTTTGTGGCAATAATTCCACTTTAAAATTACTCATCTTCGTAATTATCCCCTACCTTCTTATCCTATAGCATTTTGGCCACTAAAAATACTTATCAGCATTTCCATAACCTCTACCTAATAATTCCATGTCTGTGTTCTTTACTCAAGTTCCCACCAATCCCAACTGGAGTAATATCTAGTTTTTAAAAATTAACTTTTCCAAATGAACAACATTTTAAAAAATTATACATTCCCCCAACCTACCCTATTCCCTTTTTGGCCCAGCAAGATCAATTTCTCTACCCCCTTCAGGATCCTCTGTTGTAGTTTTGCTAATTTAGACTTCATAGTCTTAGATTTGATTCTCCTTTCACACCAGCACCTCTTCTGCTAAGCCTTCAACAGTTTCAACAGCTTCAACAAGAACAACAAATTTTATATAACATAGCACAGCAATGGTCTGTTTGGGAAAGGATGCCTTCAGCCTACCAATCTAGACCTCTGTTCTGTGATCGTGACTCCAATATAAGAATAGGAAACCCTACCCATATTTCGGGGTGGGGGGAGTCCTTTTCAAAATTTTAGGTTATAGCCTCCATCTTGATCACGTTTTGGTTTTTCTTGCTGTGAAGAACTGAAACACCTTTCTTTCATAAGACTACTCTATAGCACCTACCAAGACCAGTTCTTTCTCTTCTGGTTGTTACAGTTTTAGTCGTTGTATCATCGTTCTGGTTAACAGTAGCTGAATTTACTTTTCATTCACTCTGACAGTATTATAGAAAGTCATGGCCAGTTGATTCAGTACCTGGTAGTGTTCTGTATACTAGTTTGTCAGTAACTATTAGTGACTAACAAAATTTGTAGGTACTTTATTATGCCGTTAACTGTTATAGTTGGTGTCAGATATGGAACAAGAGGGATACAGACATACTAACTTCCTGGGGTTCTTATTTTGCTGGTGGAAACCATCACCATCTTGAACTTCATCATTGGTACTTAATGGCCTAGATGGCAGCTCTGAATTTGAAGTTTTCTTCTTCCCTGATTAGATATTAAGAGTAGCTTGCCAGTAACAAAATATCTGCCTCTTTCAAAACACATTTCCAGCATAAGATTGTCTATATATTTGGTGGTTATGGGGTTAGGACAACAAACATATTGAAAACAATTGGACCTAAAACAAATGAAACCCTAAAGACAAATTCCAAGTCTTTTTCCCATGTGACATGGTAGAAAGAAGAGAATGGCAAGTAATCAACAAGGTGAGGAAAGACAATTGGGGTTTGGGGCTTTGGGAGGTACTTGGCCACTGCTAGGAAGTTAGAGCACTAAGGTCCCCATTTATGTTATGGAATAACAATTTCGTTGTTATTTCATTTAAGCTCTTTAAGCTACTGAATGCCTATATATTTGTAACAAATTACTGTAGTGGTCATCATTCATTTTCTGTAGACATCCATTTTATAGGATAGCAGAATGGCAAAGTACAGGGGCAGCTAGATGGCACAGTGGATAGAGCACCGGCCCTGAAGTCAGGAGAACCTGAGTTCAAATCCAGCCTCAGACCAAACACTTGACACTTACTAGCTGTGTGATCCTGGGCAAGTCACTTAACCCCAATTGCCTTAAAAAAAAAAAAAAGAAAAGAAAAGAAAGGACAAGTACAGTATTTTGGCCCTTATAATTCACTCCCCAAAAAGATTTTACAATAAAGATCAAATATGAAGGAACCATACATGTCAAAACATGGGAAAATGATAACTATTTTAATAGTCTAAGGCAGATAGCTGAAGACAATAAGTTGAGTGGGACCTCAGTTGTTCAGGAGATAGATACTTTCTCTGGAGCTGCATTGTGTGGTAAGTGAATCAATAAATTCTTGCTGACCTTCCTAGGGTTGGTCTTTTTCCCCCTCTCCCTCTTATTTCCATGTTGTACCCTATAAGCC